TTCTCTTAGTCTCCATTGAATTGATTTCTGTTCTGATCTTTATAATTTTCTCCCTTATATGAGCTCTGAGATTGTCCTGGTCTTCTTCTTCTAGAAGCTTGAGGTTCAGTATCAGGCTGTTTAATTGGGCTCGCTCTGTTAGAGCACTCGTTCTTCAGAGTTGGTGAGTAGGGACACCCTGTCACATGCACAGGATAGTGCTGTGGTGGCTATGCAGGCTTGCCTGGCCTGTTCAGTTAGCGTTACTCATGCCAATGTTAAGAGTCTAATGGCAGGTATGAGAGCAGAAGAGGGAGATGAAAACCAGGAAAACATTCCGAGATGAACTACTTAGATCATTTAATAGCCAGAAATCAGGCCCATGGAAAACATGGAAGGACCTAACTTTACTTCAGAAGGCTGCAAGTTTACTTTCTAAGAATCTTTTTTTTCGTACTGGGGATCGAACTCAGGTCCTGGCGCTTATGAGGCAGGTGGCAGCACCACTGAGCTATTTCCCCACCCCACTTTCTAAGGATCTTGAGTAATGGTTAACATTGCTATTGAGAGAGCAGTGGCTGGGTCAAGCTGTAATACGAAAAGTCAGCATGCTTGGACTGGAAACCAAAAGATTGGACTTAGATGGAAGAAACCTGAGTCTGACACTGATTCCTTTACCTCCCCATCATTTAACCTTATACAAATTATTCAACCTCAGTGTCACAAATTGAAGAACTGTGGTGAGGATTAGGGTAATGTCTGTCAGAACTTTCCACCCTAAAATGCACAGGAAATGGACTCAATAAAACTTAGTATTATTTGGAAGAAAGACCACCGAAAGAATGAAGCACCAAATACTACCATGGGTTTCTGGATTTCTTTCCCTGGGGTAAATTCTTGACTGAAAATATATTGTAGCCTCCCAAAAAAGATCCAAAAAGATGAGAAATATTTTGTTTAGCATATTTATTTTCCAAGTTTGCAACCCCCATGCCTATTAATAAAATACTGAGAAAAAGTTAAGCAGCATCTTCTGTGTTGATCAGAGGGCAATGAGGAATGTTTGTATGTGTTCCCGAAATTGCATGGCTTAGCATCATAAATTACAGATATGTGAGGAAGAAAAGAAATTAACATGCAATAAAATCTAATGTGTACTGGAGATTATAGTATTTTCACATATACTATTTAATTTAATCCTTACAACAATCTTGTAAAGTATTTTCATTATTTATAGGTGAACAATATGAAGCTTAGTAACTTTCAATCTAAACCCAAAGAACTAGGATGTGGTGAAACTGTGCTTACATTTTGGGACATCCACCTCTTCACTCACTTTCTGTTTTGTCAAAGGGAAAGTCACTATCCTTTCTTTTAAAAAGTAAGAGCAATTAATTTCTTTCATAGTTTTCCTTTACAACGGAAAGAAGTAGACTATAGCTTATACTACCACACCAATAAAATGCAAAAAGAACGTACTTAGAGTCAAAAGTCTTAGAATGCATGCATATTCCATAGACTTTAAGTAAATGCTAACACCTGTCCTCCTCAGTTTCCTTGTCTACAAAAATACAAGCAAAAGTAAAACTGTGGGATGTTGAGTAAATGAGACAGTGTTTAATGGATAATCTATAAATTCCTATGATATAAAATAGTATATTGTTATGATTTACTTCTGGTTAAAAAGTTACCATGTTGTAAATAACAAACAGAAGTGTAAAACTTAAAGCTGTAAAATATCTGGAAGGAAAGAGAAAGTCTTTGTAACTTGGATTAGCAAAGGTTTCTTAGATACAACACAAAAAGTGATTGCTAATAGAAAAATTGATTAAGTGGGCTACTTCAAAATGAAAAACTACTGTGCTTTGAAAAACATTGTTAAGGGGGATTTAGCTCAGTGTTTCTGCCGCCTGCCTTGCAAGTACAAGGACCCGATTTTGATCCCCGGTACAAAAAAGAAAAAAGAAAAACATTGCTATAAGGAACAAAAAGATAAGCAGCAGACTAGGATAAAATATCTGTAACAAACAAATCTTTGTCTAGAATATACAAAAAATGCAGTAACAGAGGAAAAAACTCAATTAAAAACAGGAAAGTATTTGAATAATACTTTACCAAAAAATGACAAATGGATGGCAAAAGTACATGAAAATATCTCAGTGTATTTATTGGGAAAATCATTATACACCTACCAGAATATCTTTCAAAAATCACAAAAAACTGACAATACCAAACATACACTTAATATATGATCAAGCAACCCTACTTGTTAAATACTTACCTCAAGTGAAATGACTAACCATATCACACAAAACCCATATGGAAATGTTACAGGTACTCTAGTCATCACTGGCAAAACCTTCAAAGAACCCAAATATCATTCAACAGGTGACATCCACACAGGGGAAACTACTCAGCAGCAAAAGGAATGAATGATCACATGTGCAACAATATCAATGATTCTCAGATGCCATTTTTGATACTAAAGAAATCAGACCAAAATGGTACATGTTACATACACAATTCCATTTATGTGACAGTCTAGAAAAGTTGAAACTTCAGAGACAGAAAACAGATACATGGCTTCCAGGGTTTGGGTTTGGGGAGACTTTGACTCCAAAGAGGCACTAGAGAATCTATAGGTTGTTGTAACTGTTCAACATCTTTATTATGGTGAAGAGCACACCACTGTATGCATCTTTCAAAACTCAGAGAACTCTACATGAAGAAGGGTTACCTTTCATTTTCGTAAGTTATGGCTCAGTTAACCTGGCTCCACAGTAAGATGCATGTGTGTCCACCTACATATACACATACATAAATATATGCACAGATATATATGAATGCATTTTTTCTCCTGAAGGACACACACATGAACATGTAGCTGCACACCGCCCCCCCCAGTGTAAAATGGTTATTTGCAGTAAGTTGACATCAGAGATTAGGAGATAAAGGTACAAGAAGACTTAATTATCACAGAATATTTCTTTGCCATTTGTATTTTTTACTACTACAGAGATGACATGAATTACTTAGGGATTGAATAAAAACATTAAAGATCATCCTGGTGGGCTACTTGTTTCTCTTGGGATTTAGCTACTAAGAGTTGAATCATGGGGTCTGTGGCCAGCTGCTGGGACTGCTGCTGAGAGTCCTCTTGCCTCAGGTGGGAAATGTGGCTCAATCTTCTCTACCCGCTTCTGGTTGGAATGTATTCTAAAGTTCTGAAAATTCTAGTTTCAATCCACTATTCCCAAGAAGTGACTGTCCATTCCTGTTCATCCTCAGTCGCTTAAGTCACATTTTCAGCAGTGCCTGGTACTTTGTTCCTATATCTGGCTCTATTCATTCCTGCATCTCATCTTTGGTGCTGCCAATATTAGTTTCCTAAAACAAAGCTCACACCACTCCCCTGCTTAGAAGCATCCACAGCTCCCCTTTGCTTACAAAGCTTTTTGGCTGGAACATAAGGTCCCCTAGGCCCTGACTGCAACCTGTCTTCCAATTTCAATTCTTTATTGCCTTCTGTGCTCAAAGCAAAAGTAAGCATTCCATTGTTTCCCAGATATGCAGCTTTCAATGTTTTATGTTTTGTATATATCTCTGCATTTGAAATAAAAGTTTTATTTACCATTAGCTAAACTCCTATCACTCCTAAATATTTTGCGTAATATCACCTCTCTGATGGAATCTAGGATTACCTCACACATAGATACTCTTCAGTTTCCTCTGCTTCCATATTACTAGCAACACTAGCTCATTTGTCATAATATACTCCAGTTTTTCTGTTTAAGGGTCTAATTTTCCAACCAATGAGCGTCAGTGAACTTCAATGTTTATATCTCTTTCTTCCTGGCAGAACTTCATTGCCATGAATGGCTGCCCCCACACATGCATGTTCATGGATGTGCACAAACACATGTATTTATTGAAGGAAAATACGAGTCACAACATCACATGCACAGAAATTACAGAAAAATAGAACTAGATTTTGAACTGTGAGCTGACAGCCTCACTTACCATCTTGGAATGTGTCATTAATTGCAATGACAGCCTGGGAGGGTTTGGACAGTTCGGCCCCTTGTGCTGAGCTGAGGAAAACTACAAATGTCTCCAATCCTTCAATGACTGGATACTGAGTGTCATCCAAGATGGTCAAGGTGCAGTACTGGAGAAGAAATCAAAGCGAACTTTACAGAGGGCCAAACTTCCAACATTCACTTGCTTTGGGGAGACGAGGATAAAGGTGGCAACTTATCTTTCTTTGGTGGTCTTAAAGCAAGTTTTTAAAATCCATAAAATGATAATTTCTTTATCACATATTCTAGGAGTTTGTTTCTAAATATTTACATAAAACAAGTGAAATTTCTATTCTACATTTGTACTGTTGGATATTTGATGCCAAAAAGGCCACTTGGAGAGTTTTAAAGAGATGCCCTACTAAGTTTGTTCTCGTTTGTAGGTTTATGTTTTAAAGTAAAGATAGTAACAGCAGGGGCATTTTAGAGTCCTCCAGAGAGCTGGGAAAGCAACCTCTAGACCACACTATCAGAGGCATCCAGAATTACGACTCTGCTGCTTTGACTGCTGTAGGCTCACCTGCTCAGTGACACCGGGCCCAAATTCGACCTTCCTAGAGCTGGGGACATAGTCAACTCCTGGAGTAGCAGAAGCTGGGTCAGAGGGCCGAGTTGCACACCAGACAGATGTGAAAGTAGAAAGGTCTGTACCATGGCGGATGACTGGAATCTTCACTGTGCCTGCATAAGAATAGCAGAGACTTGCATGGCTAGGAGATCAGTGGATTTTGACAGCACTGTTCTCACTGCAATAGTGGCAACTTCACCCCACTCAGTTTATCTGGTCCAACTTGAAGGAGGCTCCTTAACCTCTCTGATGGCTGAGAGGTGTCACTGGGCCTCTTTTCCCTGACACTGAGTCCAAGAGGAAATCTAGAGGAGGGCCTCATGTGGGTGGTCCTGGAGAGACAGCGCTTTGGGAGAGCTATCTTAACAATGCACAGGAGGGGAGAGGTGCCCACTGAGAAAAAAACTCAAGCCTATTTCCACAGAAACTTGGAGGTGAGATCTTCAGCTGGAAAATAATCAGTGAGCAGCTAGGAGACTACAGGGCCTGGAGCTGAATGTTCCTAATTAAATGTTTTAGCTGGGTTGATTTTCCTATTTCATCCAAGTGGTGCACACATCATTACTTAAACCATATACAATATGCTTATTGCTTATTTTAGGAATGAAGCTCATCTTCTGGTCTACTGTGACAACACACTTTGTAATGTTTTAAAGATATTTAGCTATTTTCACAACCAAGGTCAGAGAAAAGCCAACACGAAAACACCATTGATGACCACATTCTTGAAGCCTGGATGCTGGGAGGTGACATGCAGGCATGGCTGGGCATGTGGAATATGGAGAGGGAAACATGGTGTAGCAAGAGGACAGGATTCTAAGCCAGCTCTGTCACTATGTGAGCTGCTTAATCTTCAGTCATTTATTTAAACTCTCTGGTGGGTCTCCGTTTGTTCTTCTATGCAATTTCGTCTCTTCCACAGAAGATCCAGTGAGAAACAATGGAACACAAAGAATGGTGCCTAAGATCCAGTATGCACCCAAAATATTAGTTCCCTATATATTTTAGAATCCCTTCAAAGAGGTGAAAGGCCTTGATCTGGCTTAGATCAACAAATACTCAGCATAGCTAGTGTCCTCTGTGTCAGCAGTTTACAGAGACTTCAAGACCCTGGGGGAGCCACAAGAGTGAAGGAGTCTGGGCTCTCACACACTTTATGGAAGACATTTGCCCATCAACTGCTTTAAGATATTGCCTAAATGAGACAGTTCCATTGTGTTAAGAACTTATTGGAACTTACTTGTTTCAGTAGCTGGCATGACACTAAAATAACTCACCTCCACATCCTCAACAGATCACATTCTTCTCTTTCACAACCCAAAATTCTAAGCACCATGTCTTCCCTTTGGACTCCAAAGGTCAGCCCATGCAATTCTAAGTCTGAACCCTCTATACCATCAAGAACCAGGTTAAGAAAAGTGGATGGAACTCTGTATTTTAATCCCTCCCATTCTTGGTCTTGATGCCTGGCAATAAATAATTTCTCAGTCCAATAATGGTGTCACTGAGGAATGGTATTTTCATTGTCTTAGGTATATTCTTAAACACAAGGAAACTGTTCAAGAAAGGGATCAGGGAGATGAACAATGGATCTGTAGAGAGGCTGCGCATTACCTGCATCCTCACTGACAGTGAAAGCCGTGTTGCCCAGGGAGACAGTGGAGGCATCATTGGGACCACTGATGAGTACCCTGGCTGTCGCCACCCTTCCAATTCGAGCATTGTCAGAAGCATCAGCCAGGGCAATCTCAAACTCCTCTTCCTCTTCATACTCGCTGTCATCAATAAGCATGACATCACAGGTGGACATGGTGACCCCAGGCCCGAATATCACACGACTCTCAGCAGACATCCCTCTCGATTTAAAATCAGAGCCTGACTCTAGAGCATATAGGCTACTTCCCATAGCTGATTTAGGGACCGTGTAGCAAACTGAAGATACAATGCTGCTTGAATCTCCTGAAAAACAAACAGCAAGAAATGCAGAGCATGTGAATAAGACATTGAATTCGAATTTATGAATCTCTGCTAACTTAGCAAGCGTGGTTCCTTCTGACACATTCTATTACTATGTCTCTTCAAACTCTTGACAAGAAACCTTCCTGAGCTACAGTTTCTTTTAAGTCTCTGGTATAAACCACTCAGGAATTTAATATACCCCAGATACTTCCCCTAAATAACTTAAAATGGATTTCCTCTTCTGTGAATTTCATGCTCTGTTAATTCACAAGACTCATTGCCCACCCTGGAAGACCACAGCGGGTGGAAAGATAAGAGACACACTTGGCACTTTAAGGAATAAAGTAATCATGTCCTGAAGGGAGTGCCAGAAGTACAGTTCACTGCCTTTCTGAATAAACTTCTGCACTTTAATTCCCTGAGAGAAACAAGCTTGTTTAAGAAAAGAAAGACAAAACAAAATAAAACTTGCCTTTGTACAAATGACTTTACTTATTAGTGTTGCCATGTCCCTGATGACAACCTGCCCTGGGCCTGGCTTGGTGGCGCACAGCAATCAATGGGGCTTGCTTGTTCGCCAAGTAGTATTGCCCAGGGTTTGTGTAATCTACAGCGTTTGTTATACTAGTACCCAGTCAGCAGATTCAATAAAGAAACCTGACATCATCATTTACAGTCATGTGGGTTGGAATGGGGATTTTATTTCTATGAATTTTAAAGTCTCAATATTACAAAATAATAAATCTACAGTATCTTTGTTTTGACTTTCCATCTCTCAGGAATTTGTCCTTTATTTCTCACACATAGCTTATTTCTCACTTGAGCTCTAAATATGATACAGGGAAATATGACATAGGGAAATCTTTCAGTACATTTTCTGTCTTCCAAGAACTAAGGTTCTTATCCCTATAACTTCCCTCCTTGACCAACGTTACTAAATATTTTATGGATTGGGTGATTGATTAAGAACATCGAGTTAATGAATAATTTGCAAGGCTAACTATAACCAGTTTTCTAGTCCAATTTCAGAATAATGGAGGTCTAACTATGAGAGGTCTTCTGACGGTACTCACTTTTGGACACTATCATCATTCATTAGGGTTGTTCTGTGGATTGAGTCAATAAATATGAAATATATATACAAGGTGAGTTAATATAATACAAGAGCACTTGGCACATATAAGGGACTTCATGAATGTTAGCTATTATTATAGCTTCTTGTCACCTTTGGCACCAACAGACCTTTTCTTTCAATAGGTGCAAATAGAAAACCAGCACTCTCGTTGACCCGGTAGGTCTTCTTATCAAACTCTAAAGTGGGTTCATCCTCAGTGTCATTGATAATGACCTTCGCCTGGGTGAACTCCCCTAACAGGGCATATGCTGGCATGCTGAGCTCCACAGTGAAACTTTCAACATTCTCAAACACATCATCATCATTGATGACAATGGTGCAGGATTTGGTGTCCTCTCGCTCATCAAACTGCACCTGTCACGAAGGAAACAGTAAGAGTTAAAGTGTATCTCCGTGTCCCCCGCCCTGCTTTCCCAGAGCACTATAGGAAAAGAGCACAACAGGCAGAGAACTAACTGAAATAGCTGGTTCTTCTATTCCCAACTCCCTACTGTGTTGCCTGGGACACTTGGCCACCTCTTCCTGTTCTTCATATGTATATTGGGGCTGATTTATAGTATAGGGGCACAAAGGGCAGAGACAGCTCCTTCCACTTGATGACTGTAGAAAAACATGTCATAATTATTCATGTCCTGTTTTATCAACTCACCTGGGATGGCAAAAGTCATAATTTGATGACTCAATTTCCCTTCTACTTAAGCAAGTTTAGCCAGAAAGATCTCTGAACTGGGAGTATGAAATTCTAGTCTCAAGTTGTGGTGCCCTTACTTCCAGATGGGTAGCTATGAAGTGTTACACACATCAGATTCCTCACCAGCTAAATAACAATAATAACTCTCCTGCTTTTTTACATTTATTGGGAGCACTAAAAAGTTATATATAACAAAAGTACTAAAATATTTAAAAATATTAAAGTGTAAGATATTATTGTTATCATGACCGTATTACTTATATAATTACAATGGACTATATTGCATTGCACTGAATAATGGAGTTTAAATTCATGGAAAGTTAAATCCTTTGGCATTAAAATGGGCTATAGAACTATAACATGAATGAATTTAGCCAGATACAATACACATTATTTTGTATCAGGAAGGATTGGGCTGCACTTTTTGTAAATTGAGACATCTGACACGGGTTGAAAAAAAATAAGTCATACACCTTCAGGGCCACACAAATCTGAAAAACATATAACTTTAATCAAACAGAAAATTATTAGTACATACAGTATCTAATCAGTTAATCAAATTATGCTTTTATTAGGCTCCGTATTTCAAAATACCTCCACAAAAATTATCTTTTAACAGATCTCTATTTAAGATCTAGAGCACATCAGCAGCCCTTTGTCTGTCTTTGCTTGAAAAACAGAAGAACACGCACTGTCCAATCCTTTTGCTAGAAGGCTCTTTAGCTCAACTGTTCTTTCTTCATTTCTCACTTAAATTGGACATAAGTTGCCTTAGCCTGGTCCTGCTGATTCCTGAACTGAATTAAAGGACACAGCCCACTTTCTTTTCTAGAAATTTGTATGACCAAATAAATGATGAAATTACTTTGAATAAATAACTATTAAGTGCCAAGCACTGTGTCCTACATAAAAGATGACAAATATAGGGTACTTTACCTTTAAGCAGTCAGCTATTTCTCCTTTCTCTCCTCTACTTTCACTATTCCCGTTCCCTTCTGGGTGCCCAGGGCCTCACTCTCGCACACTGAGCACACGCTCTCCACTGATCTGCGCCCCGGCCTGGCCTCCTCACTTCTCTCCTTACTCGCTGTCCATTAATTTTTGTGGTCCGGCCTGTTGTTTCTAAGGCAATTCATGCTCAACATGTCCAAGGCAAAGTCCCTTCTTAGCAAGGGGCACTATCCCTCATGTCCCCTTCTGCCCACTCTAAGTCCTATCAATTCTAACCTGTTCAATCCATCTGCCTCCTCCAATTTCACTTTCTAATGGAAGCCTAAACCCTCATCATTGCTCACCCAGCCTAGTCCAAGAGCTTCCCAATGAGTCTCCTTGCCTGCTTCTTCCTTGCCTTCAGTGAGGAAGGTGAAGGGAGAAGAGGGGAGAGGACATCAGTGGCTGAGCACAGAATGGGATGCCCTGGAGACCTCTACTTGTCATAAAGTCAAGTGTAAAGACCGAGAAGCTAGATGACTACATGAACTGTGGCAGTAGCACTTCAATGTGGAGAGAGAGATTGTGAAGAACAAGCACTATGGGAGGGAACACGGGAAAGTTACTCAGGGAAGGAAGCTTATAAAAAGGAGGCGAAAGATGCCACAATTGCCTGCAGCCACATCTCAGACCTTGCTAGAGCTTTCCCGGAGCCCAGAATCGGAGGCCCCCATCCCATGCACCTGGCCAGCATACTCCACGTAGTCCTGCTGTCCAGGGTGCACGCTGACCCCAGGGCCAGAGCTAGAGCTGGCAGTGCCTTGCTCGGTGCGACACAGCACGATGGCGTACTGGTTCAGGTTCCCGGTCCTCTGCACAGTCACACTGACCGACCCTGCCTTCTCACTGACGTTGTAGCTGGAAGCACAAAGAAAGGCAGTCTCTGAAAATCTGCACCACAGCTGCTTGTACAGCACCTGTCTCCCCTTTTCGGTTATTGCTGTCAGGTATTTCAGGCCTGAGGAATTTGGTTCCTTGAAGGAGCTGTTTAAAATGTGGGAGTGTTCATTTGGAATGGCCACAAAAAGTGGACAGAGATGTGTGGATGCAGAATTTCACCTGCCCAATTGGAAGAGAGTTGAGAGTCACACAGAAGATGGATGGGGAACAGTACATGGGAGCTGTGAGCCTCGGGTCTCGGAACATGGAAAAATTGCAATTTCTCCCTAGTGTGGCAGAGTAATAAGAACTGGTCAGTGGGTTCTCAGGTTAGAGAGCTGCTCAGAAGGGTAGTAATGACTTAGGTGGGCAAGGACTGCACCAGACCTACAGAAAGTACATGAGGGAGGACAGACAGCAGCAGAGGGAATATGAGTTGGGGGTGGGCGACATAGTTAGACAAATGGAGTAACAGGGCAGAGATGGGAGGGATGGAGTTTATGCTTATGGATTTTTATTGCTTTTGTCAAGCAGGAGGCCAACTCTTGTGCTCTTAACTCCGAATAAGTATTAGGTATGGAAAAGCCAAGAGAGGAGGATGAGACGAGCTTTGTCTCCTATCACTGAGGACAGCTGTGGAACCTGGGTTTGTGTGCCAGGGCTGTGAGGATTTTAGACAAAATGCCTGAGAGGTCAGATTTTATTGCCAGCTTTGAGTGCTTTCATATGAGTTACTCCATTAAATGTTACAGCATTGTTCAGGAAAAGGGATGAATTTTACTGAATTTATTTAATTTTGGAGGAGATACATCTAAGAGGCTAAAAATCAGCAAAGAGCAAAATATTACACATGCTGAAGGTGTATGGGCAAGTTACTTAATCTTCTTCTGTTGCTATGGCTTTGCTCTGTGGGGTCAAGAAGAAAATTTGTCTCATAATCGCATACTTGCAAGTAAATAAAATGATGGACTTGCATGTCAAGTACCCAGCCAGTGCCTTGGATATAGTGTACTCAATAAATATGTCATGCAATTATTATTTTCATTATTGTTATCATCACCACTATCAACTGCTGACTAAAGCTGCTCCAAGGTGCTTCATCCTGATCTCCTCCCCTTGTCTCATTTGCTTCTCAAGAATGAAAGCATAAAAACACTTGTACCTGGTGTATTTAAAGCTGATGAGGGACCACTGGATATGGAAGGCATTGCCACTGACCACATTGGGTTTACTGTCTTTCACCAGAAACTGAAAACTATCCATCATCTCATGGATCTTCTCCTCATGCAACACATAACGAATCAGCCCCAAGTTCACATCCTCTGTGAGGGAAACAAAACAAAACAAAAACTCACTGTGAGTTCACTTCAAATTAACCTGGAGATATAAAAACAGCCTCCAGGAGTCTAACACCAGCACATCTAGTTTATTCTTCTAATGGGTTATAGGCAGAATTTATTTTCACAAGTACAAAAAATGCAGTAGTCTTAAAAAGAAATGTTTCTTCCAGGTTTTAAAATAAAATTCTGCCACCATGCAACAGAAGATCTGTGTTCTTTATATACAGAAGGCAGCCTACACTGTAAAATAAGAATCCAAGGGTCTTGACAGAAAGCACTTCAGCAGACATCTGTGGAATGTTGAAGGCTAATTTGGGAATCGACAGAGAAAGTCTCTGACCCCATCCATGTGTGTGTATCCTCATACCCAGCCTTAACTCCTTCTCCATAAGATTCTTTGGAAGGGAAGTGCTATTAAGAGAAGCTGGAGTTGGATTAAAACAACCTATATACACAAGGCACAACTAAAAAGGTCCTGGGAGAGAACACATCATGGAGGACTGGGAAACAAAAAAGGAAAAATGGAGCAGTTATTTTAAGAGGCAGTGTTGCAGTAAGTGCTCCCAACCTGGTCCACACTCAAAGGAAGACTAGAACAGTGTGACAAACATGAGAAATTAAGTACAGAATGGCCTGCTTTATGTAATTCAAAGAGGAGAATCTTTCTGTTGTACAACCTGTACATGTTGACTTTAATCTCTGGGCTGAAGGTTTTTTTTTAAACATTATAATCTGTAGAGAACAAAATATAAACCACATGGGATCACAGATTGTTCACAAAGTCTGCTTGTTGTTTCCTCTCCAGAAAACCTGGCCCAAACCTAAAGGTAGGAAGTATGATAGAGATGAATTTGTCTTTGCCAAAGTTCAGAGTAAAAGGAAGTCAAATTGACAAGGTGGACAGCTCAACATTACGGGAAGGGAAGGGGAAAGGGAAGAAAGGAAAGGAAAAATTATGTTAGAGGAAAAAAAAATGGAAACAAAGTCTATGCAAATAGGGAAGAGTGGTGGGGGTGAAGGGCGCACAGGTAATGGGGAAAAAAATAAGAACTAAGATACATCATGTTCATGTACAAACACCCAATGATAAGTGTAAATGTATTGTATACTGAAAATGTACCGATTAATATATAAATTTAAAAAAAAGGTCTGTTTGTAAACAGGTGATGTGGGCAGAATTAGTGGGAAGTGACTGTGAGTACGATGGCAGGGGCAAGGAGAACAACAGTGAAAGTTTCCCTGTTTCTAAGCCCTCCTGGGTCCCTACCCTGGGTGAACGAGGCAGCAGCACGGCCTGGTTGCAGCTTGTTCTCCACATGGCCGTGCTTGGGGCCCGATGTGATCTCATATACCAGCCGTGGGTCATCTGTGTCTGGGTCCATGGTCAGCAGTTCCTTCTTGGTGATCAGGTTGGTTGCCTGGAATAGAAACCCATTAAATTTAATTCCTGATGTGGGAATTAAAGCAGGAACAAGACCCTCTGACTCAGATTTAATTCAGTTCATTCAGTTCAATAGTGATTTACTGAGTGCATTTACTGTGCAGAAAACTCTGTCAAGACTGGAGAGGCAATGAGGGTAGAAACTTCCCAGCCTCTGCCTGCGAGCTGTCTGCACTTTATTGGGAAAGAACGACTTGTGAGCAAGGTCACTGTGGCATTAGCTATCAGAGAGACATAAAAAGAGAGCTACAGAGTTTTGGGGAGAGGGACAGATGAATTCCATCTGCAGGTGAGGAAAGAGGCATGTGATTTGAGTTTGGCCTTGAAAGAAAGCTGGAACTTTGAAAGAATGACACAATACTGAGAAGATGTCTCTTTCCTAGTTTCCAGGAGTCCCCTGCAAGGCTTAAAATTGAGTCAGATAAATACACTGCACCCTAATGTTGCACAAATATATGAGCTAAACTTTACTTTGTTCATCTGTTCATTCATTCATTCATTCATTCATTCAAATATTTAGTAAGAGCAAAATTCAGAGAAAAGTGAGGGGGTGATCAACAGTAGTAAATGTCAATAGGTTGAGTAAGCCAAGGGCAGAGAGCTAACTTTGGAATTCAGTAAAGCAGAGGACATTGGAGAATCACTAAGAGTTAGTGCAGTGGGGCAGGTGTGGGAGGTGGAAACCCAAATGGGTGGGGAAAGAATCATTCTGAATATCAAAAAATCAAATAGGGCATAGGAAGAAATTGTACTAATTTTGTTTCATTTATTTTATGAAACCTGAGCAGCTTAGAGGGAAGCTTCAGCGGAAAAGCTACAGACCACCAACTGATCAGCACCATGGAGATGGAAATAGCCATGTCCTAGGGGGACACCACCCACCAATGGAGAAATCAGTTCTAAGCTGAAATGAAGAACTGTGTATGTCCTTGGGTGGGATGCAAATTTAGTGCCTGACATGCTACTAGGTGAAAATTATGGCATGTATCTTAAAATGATCAAATTGAGAATGAGGAGATAGAGAAAAAAATTTCTAAAGTAGAATTCCTTCGAGGAATTTTGTCTACAAAAATGGGTGCATCTTTCCCACTGAGGACAGATACTAAGTTTTTTTAAATCCATCTTCTTCTCCTTGACCGCTTGCCTGCTCAGCCAGAGACACTATTTCCCAGCCACACATGAGGCCATGTGACCAATTTCTTGTCACTAGACAATGAATGCAAGAGATGTGCCCAATTTCTTTTTTTTTTCCATTAAGTTTATTGGTACATTTTAGGTATACAGTATAGTTACATTCATCATTGGGATCTTGTACCTTTACATGTTGTATCTTGGTTCTTATTTTTTCCCCTTCCCCTGCCCTCTCTTCACCACCTCCACCCTTCCCTATTTACGAAGACTTTGTTTCCATTTTTTTCCTTTTCTCATATTTTTCCTTTTACCTTCTTTCCTTTCCCCTACTCCTCCCACTTCCCCTACCCTTCTAGACTTTTTCTATTTCACAATATCAATTATACATTTTGATCCTTATTTACACTTTTAGTTTTTCACATCAAAGAAACTGTTCAGTATTTACACGTGTCCTATTTATTTCACATGAGTATGGCCTCAATGTGTATACACTTAGCTATAAATGTCACTAGTTTCTCATACTATGTGGCTGAGTAGTACTCCATTTTGTAAAAAAATAAAAATGTGCCCAATTTCTGTATCACTTGCTTAAAAGGAAGTTCCTTGCTCTCTGCCTCTCGGTGTTTCCCTTTCCTTGGGCTGGAGTATTGATGACTTTCTGGAAAAAAATTGATCATGTAGTCAACAGCAACCACCTAGTGATGGAGAAATAGTAAGATAGAATTCTCAAAAAACAGAGTGAGGGCCCTCAAGAGAGGAGCATTATAGTCTGGGACTGGGAATGTTTATGTAGTTTTGGTTGTGGAAATCTGTCCTGCACAAGAACCAATCAAGAATCCTAAGGAAACTCATAGAACTTGGCAATTTTAGGAAACTCAGCACACTTAGGGAGTGATAAACACGAACTGAACTGGAGTTCTACTCAGAAGACACTGTCACGAATAAAGACTTGGCCCCAGGGGGCACGTGGGTCAGGCCTTACCTTGCCATCCATGTACTCGAGCCATTGGAGCCCCAGGTTGGTGACAATAGTAGGGGTGCCGTCATCTACTGGGAGGATGTCCACTCGGAACTGCTGTGGTGCTGCTGTTATAATCTGTCCCGGGGCCAGAAAGGAACAGTCATCACTTGGAGACGCATGGCGTATGTTGGGCCCAGGACCTCCCAAGCTCAAACCCTTGTAGTCTGGTGATGTTTCAGAGATGCCGAGCAGACAACTGAGTCAGTTCCTATCCCTTATCAGCAGTGGCCCGAGGCCTCAGGGAGATTGTTGACTGACAAGAGGAGAACCTCATGGGAAGAAAAGCAGGAAAAAGAGGCACCTTTGCAGGACTTCAACTGCTATGGAAGTCGCTCATCAGGTACCAGTGTCTTCTTTTTGCTGCAGAGGTTGTTTGAGGTTCTGGGGATGGAACCTAACACCTCTCGAGTGCTAGGCACCTGCTGTACCCCTAAGCTGCACCTCAGTCCCTATAGCTTCTGGAACTGAAGCCAACATTGCCTTAAGATGAAATAATACACAGCTTATCTTCCTTTCAATAATGCTTATTAAAATTTTCATGAAGGCCTGATGAGGTGGGATTGTGTCAGACATGAAAAGATGTTTCTGAGGGAAGAATTTTCTTTTTTTCCTTTCCTTTTCCTATTTTTGTTCTTGTGGTTTTGTCTTGAGGCAAAGCAATCTCTACAAGGATCAAGGGCAGGAGAATGAAAGAACTTATGAGAACAAGGAGAGAAAATACAGTTGACAATCACACACACACACACACACACACACACACACCACACAGGACACACACTTGAGTGTGATTCAGCTCCTTATAGTTTCTTAGGGCAGCAAGATACTGATTTTTCAATCTAAACCACCCCGCCTTCTCAATAATTTCCACTTCAAAATGGCATAGTCCCTGGGAAGCCCTACTCTGAGATCTTGTGTTTATAAGAGGGATAGCCCTCTTGCTGCTACATCCTGAAATCCTTTTTTTCATTCTTTTGAAAGTCAAACTAACTGGAGAGCAACTACAGTGCAAGACAAAAAAACAAAAAGTGACAGCCTGCCAGGCGGTGCTGCGACACAGACATGGACATGGCAGGGAAATCCCAGGGGCCACTCACAGATGCACCAGCCAGCAGAGAATGATCTATCTATCTCTCAAGGACACAGTGGGGTCTTCTTTGAGGAAAATAATCATTCATTCCCAGCATAAGAAAGGGGCCCTGTGGGACTAACAGGGGGCTGTTCTGTGATCCTGGAGGTGTGATAGGGTGTCAGCAAGCTGCTCACTAATGTGTTCCAGCTGAGTCAGCACAGCGGTGTGGGAAGTGGGGGTGCCCCCAGCCCAGCCTGCATAGGAGGCACAGTCATTCCCAGGGAAGGTCTAGGGCCCTGCAGGAGACCTTCGAAGGGATGAAGGCACGAGTATAAATGGTGGGGAAGAAGGAGAAGAAAATCTTAAGTTTCTTTTGGACATGTGCTGGTCAGGAAGAAGTAATTCTTCCAGGCACTAAAGCTTGACAGTTGCATGACCTCAAGACGAATGCATCTTACCAGCCACACAGGCTAGGCTTAAAATGATGCCAATGATGATCATTACAGCTACGATTAACCAATGTTTCCCATGTTCCAGGGAAGGGCCTAAGCGCCCTATGCACCCCAGGAGGGTAGGTATCAACCCCATTTTACAGATGGAGAAGCTGAGACTTACAAAGACACCTAGAGCTAGAATTATATCAGTATCTCTGGGACACAAAAGCCATGCTCTTAGCTATTGTTATCATTCAAACACTTTGACTATGGTTGGACTGAGGGTCTTAATTCAAAAAGAGAAAGATGATCTAGAGTCATGTGATATTACTGAAAATCTAGGTGAAGAAAAGCCTCAAGGAGAAAGAGCATTATTAAAAATGATTGTCTTTTACTAAGTGCTCATTGTTTACCAACAGTGTTAAATACTTTATTTCCTTTGATCCTTAGACTAGGAATTTGAAGCTGGTAATTATTACTTGTGCCCATTTTACAGATGAAACACTGAGGCTTAGAGGAGTTCAGTGATTTGCCCATGGCCAACATACTAGTAAGTTAACAGAGCAGATGTAAAGATCTGAGTCTTGCCTCTGGCATGTGCTTCCAGGCCTCCTCCAGTTTCTTCCCTCTCACCTCTTTTCCTCCTTCCTCGATGATAAAGAAAGGGTTTGTCCCATCAGAGACCGTGAAGGCGAACTGGTCACTGAGGGAGTTGCTGCCATCGTGTCTGTAGCTGATCCGGTTCTGGTAGATGTCTTCCATGGTGAAGGAGGTGGTCAGGTGGGAGTGCTGCCCCCTGCTGGTCCTCTCGATTGTGCCGTGGCGTGGGGGCTGCACCACTCTGAATGTGACAGAGTCCGCCTGCCCAGGAGAGAAGAGCCTTAGGGAAAGTGACTCATGACAGAAACCAGATGAGTGGGTAGTGGCCAACGGCTGGCCAGGGGGACAGAACCTAAAGACATCTATCAAATAAGGGGATCATCCTCTCTCTCTTCTCTCTCTCTTGTCAGCATGGGGGTTGAAACCAGGGTCTTCACAGTGAACTATAACCAGTCCTTTTCATTTTTATTTCTTTAAATTTTGAGATAGTATCTTGCTAAGTTATTAAATTACTCAGGCTGGGCTCAAAATTGTGATCCTCCTGCCTCAGCCTCCCAGAGTGCCAGGATTACAGGTCTGTGCCACCATCCCAGATTGAAAGCCTGCACTTATTTTTATTAGTGCATGTTTGTGACACCTAGTGAATACATTCATTGTGGGGATTTGGTGCATACACATGCTGCATCCTAGTCCTTTTTACTTCTTCCCTTGCTCTCCCTCCCTACTTCTTCTATCCCTAGAGGTCCTTCCCATCAACAAAAGGCTCTGAATTTTTAAGCTGATAGGAAATAGACCTTTTAAAAACTGCTTATTTCCTTTCTGTCCATTTCCCTTACTTTTTTCCAAACTCTGTATATAGAATCCCATATACATCAGAACAGAAGCTAAGTCTCATTTCTAGTTGCTTCTTCTAAGGTGTTATGTCAAAGAAAAAGAAAGGCATAAAACCTTGCTCAAGATTTTCCAGTGTATTCCCACCACTTAGTGTAAAATAAAAGTTCAGACATGAACCAACAAGGCCCACTGAGACCTGGTCTCAGGGCCCCTCTCTGGCTTCACTCTTCTCCACTGCTTGTCTTCTGGGTTACAGCCTCTTGGCTTCTTGCAACCTTTGAATTATTCTCAGGATCTAAAAACACTTGGCCACAGTGCCTTTGCACTTCTAGCTTCTCTTCCTGGGAAGTAAATTCTCCCAGGCAACTGCATAGCAAGCTCTTTCTCTTAATGATATCTCTGCCCAAATGTGGCCTCCTCAGAGACGTCTTCCCTAACTGCTGTCCAAAATAGCACACAAATTCATCCCTGTCTCTTCTACTTCACTTTACTTTTCCTCATAACACTTATATTCAGCATGATCTGTTCTTTCTCTACTAACTTTCTCCTCAACAAAGGTTGTAAACTCCCAAAGCCTGACACTGTATCTGTTTTGTTCACAGCTCTGCCTTTAGCATCTAGAGCAGAGCTGAGAACTTAGTAAGGTAATAAGCATTTGATGAAAGAATGAATGGGTGTTGGCACAGAGCAGGGTGGCAGCAGGCTTTATAAGAGTGAATCTGTGCCCAGAGTTTAAGAACTGGACTCGGAGCATCAGGAGAATGAGAGCTCAGTCTCCACATGACTTGTGTCACTGGGCAAAGCCTTTGAGGATACTCAGATCATGATGATGAGTTTTCATCAGAAGTCCGGATCAAGGAGACGAGATGGAGAAAATGTGCAGAAGCGTAGAAAATCCCTGTGCACTTTAATAGGGAATAACAGAAACATTGCGTAAAATGTGACCTACTTGGTTTCCTCTGAATCATAATAAAAAGCTATCGTGTTAAGAGGACTGTCACATGTAATTAGGAGAGAGAATGACTCTGTTTAGGGTTGTGGGAAGGATTTAAAAACAATTCAACCGTGACATCTTAGTGCCTCTGTTCCAGAAGGTCAGGGTGGCTTCTGGTTTTGATCCTTCAGGGATGGCTGCACTTGCCTGCTACCCACAGGATGCACAATCACAAAGCAGTGGCAGCTACCAGAGCCAGCTCCCCCAGACCTCGCACCTGTGTGTCTGCATCCACCGCCTTGAGCTCGAACTCTGTGATGATCTTCTGTACGCCCTCCTGTACCCGCATCCCCCAGTTCCTCACCACAGGCAGGGAATCATCCACAGGGTAAATGGTGATATGGAAAGTCTGAGTCACCTAGGATGGCAAAAAAGTGCAGCTGGAACATCTGTCTCCAGGACCACCCCACTCGTGGAGGGTAGGTGCTCTTGATTTCTCCTCCTCACCACTGCTGGCCTGCAGGAGCCCAAGAATGAGGACTCGGGCTGGAGGCCAGGCAGCAGTCAGAGGCTCCTCTGCTTCTTGCTGAGAGCAGAGGAAAATGATGCTTTCAGGTCACCAATCTCTCTGCTTACTCTTCTCAAAGAAGACAGAAAGGAATCAACACTCACTCGGGCATGGAATCCAAGCCCTCACCCACCTCATTGATCCCATCTGACAGCACAAAGCTGAAGGCATCAGAATGCTTCTCAGTCTTGCTGGAATGGACATAATGAACATTTTGCAGAGTCAGGTCAGCTTGAGTGAAGGAATCAATCTGGACACCTAGTGGAAAGGGAGGAGAAACAGGAAGGGAGTCAAAATGCTAGTCACACTAGGGAAATGTCATGCTCCCACCAGGGAGGACCTTTTGCATTTTCCATACAGTCTGCAGGGTCTGCCTTCGAAGACCTTGTGGTAGGTTGTGTGGATTTTTCCTACAGTGGCATATGTTCTGCGAGAGCACATGTTAACTTTGTTATTGAGGCTTCTGCTGTGTGCCAAGCCAACAGCAGGTGTCCATTAAACATTACTCTCCATCCTCTTGGGGTTGATGTATAAAGGTAAAATCTGTGAAAGATAGAGCCACTGGCTTATTTTCCAAATCCCTCTCTCATAAGTTTTACATTTCCCTATAACCTCAAAGTCCTTTCTGAAAATCTGCCCTAACTTTTAATATTGTGTCATGGTTTAGCTTTTGTACACTGGAGTTATAAATCTTGGGCACACACAGCATTGTTTCTGTGATTAGTGAGCTATCTCTGGTGTTATGGCTTGTGTCTAGATGTCCCCCCAAAGCCTCAGGCAGTCATAAGCGGAGCTTTTTCAGAGAAGGCTGAATTTAGAGTGTGTGACTGATTCATGGTACAATGCTAGGATTAAGGGTGCTAGGATTAAGGGTGGGTGATTACTGAATCAGTCCACTGATTTGTCTGGCACCACCCTAATCTCGGTAGCCTAAATAAAATATAAAAGGGGCAGAAAAAAGCTGCTAAGGTCCCCTTGCTTGCTTTTTTACCTTCTGCGCACCATGAACTGCTCTTCCTCTGCAATGTCTGTCTATTATGCTACCCTGTCTTGGAGCCAGCCAGTTATGGACTGAAACCTCCACAGACTGTGAGCTAAATAAACCTTTCTTCCTCTAACTTTGGGTATCTGGCATTTTGCCTAAGCAATGAGAAAAGTAACTAAGACATACCTGGCTACCATAATTTCACTGGATATCTCTCAAGGTCCTTTGCCATTCTCATGTCTGTGATTCTAGCTTCTCTATACTATTGTAGCCAGTCAGGCAGTAACAAAACCTACTTTATGACTTTGGGATGTGAATAATCATTTATAGCAAATTGAAAACGACCTAGAAAAACAATACTCTTTCTTAATATGATATAGGAAAAAATCATGTTAAATCTATTTACTGTGACATTTTAAAAGAACAAAAAGCTAAAGCAATTTGAAATAATGGTAAGGAATCTCACAAATGCACAATATCTCTATGATGTAAGATGTCTAAGAACATTTAGCAAAACAGTCCAGAATCCATATCTTAGGGGGCTCATATTGTGCTGCCAGTCAAGCCTGAAACAAAATCATATCTTTCAGTCCCCTGGCATAAACTCTTCCTGATTCTAGGGATAGGGGAATTCATAGATTTAATCTATTCCTTAAATTTGGCCCTGAAATTCATTCGCTACATCCTGGGATTTATTGTTTTTCAATGTTGATCCTGGCAGAAAGCAGTTTGGCTTTTCTATTAAGTAAAAACAACAGAGACTCTACTTTGTTATATATTTAAGTATGACATCAGTATCACTGCTTTCTTTTCAAAAAGGCAAATAATCAACCCCCATGGCTTACATTTGCATGTCTTTTTATCATCTGAAATATGTCACCCAAATACAAGAAACTTCTGAATACTGGGGCATTAATTTTCTGATGAGGCATTTTATATTTCCGTGCTTGCTACATCAGTTTTTGACAGGCAAGAAATGCAGTTCCCTGTCTTATTGCTTTGTCTTGTGGCTGTGGACAGAAATCCATACCATTCTTTAAAAATTGAATAACTTCAGACTGGCTGCACTGCAAAATTTAAATCTCTTCCTCTCACTGTGGATACATCCTCCCAGTTCATGGGAAAATACTTGTCTGGCATCTCACAATCAACTGGTCACCTAATTCAGTGTGGCCTTTATGCAAGTCTGAGACATTATGACTAAGATTTTGCCTTCCTAGTGGGAAGGAGGCTCTGGGATTGATTCTTTTAAACATTTTTTTTTTTTTTTGCCGATTTCTTTTATTTTATTTTAGTTTTTTGTATTAAATTCTTTTATTGGTACATTGTAGGTATAGAACACAATTACATTTCTCATTGGGAACTGTACCTTTATATAATGCATCTTGGTTCTTATTTTTTCCCCATTCCTAGCCCTCTCTTCACGCCCTCCACCCTTCCCTATTTACAAAGACTTTATTTCCATTTTTTCCATTTCTCAGCATTTTTCCTTTCCCTT